TATATAGTCCCTTCCTTACCCCAAGATGTGTCTTGCTGGTGAATCCTTTGCACTTGCTGCTGAAACTTTGGAACAAATAATTCAGTCTGGCAGAGGAAATAACTGATATCAGACAGAGACTGACCAATGAGGTATTGAGAGGTACACAGAGAATGCAGTATTATCCCTTTCTCTCCAATAGTATGCAATTGCTACTGTGAAGTACATGACAGTCTTATACAGAAGAGATTACTGACATGAGCCATCGATCCCACATACTGATATTTTACAGGGTTTTAATTAAATACACTGAATGTGAGGCATACGCAACTAAACCATGTCGATAGATTTTACCACATCAATTTTGAAGGCAAGACTTTATTAAACCCTTTTTATAACATCTACAATTAAATACACTGAATGTGAGGCATACACAACTAAACCATGTCGATAGATTTCACCACATCAATTTTGAAGGGAAGACTTCATTAAACCCTTTTTATAACATCTATCTGTTCTAGTAATATTCATAAATGTTATTTTTGTTAGACATACAGCTTCTTTTAATCATAATTATATAATGCAGACCAGTGCTTTTGTTCCATCTTTGTACAGCACCTAACACTTCTAGTGCTAGGTGGGAAGGAAGGCCTTTCAGCATGGACTTTGGAAAAGGAAGTTAACAAAAAGTGAAACAAACTCAGATATGGTGCCAGGAGGTGATGCTGTACAGTTTCTCTCACTGCTCTGTTGTTTATTCTAAATTCCTGATATTTTAAATCTGCTGACTTTTGGCTGGAGTTACATATGTTACCAATCTCTCTTAGTATTTTAATGCCAGTAATATGGTGCTGCTTCTGCAAGTCTGTCAGTCAAAACGAAAAAACAGGCCAGGATGCGTCCCAGAGGCACATACAGAAACTAGCACCCAAAACACCACATCTGGTTTTTAAGTCTTAAGTGCCACCTTGAAGACAACTTTGGTTTCAATTAGTTCCCCAGTAAAAATCAGAATAAGATTATTCTCCTAGTAGGAGAATAAAACAAAAAACAAAAAACAAAAAACCAAGCATAGACTAATCTAGGCCCCAATCTTGCAAATTGCTGACCATTTTGGTCTCGATCCAGCAAAAAACTCTTAAGCATGTGCTTATATAGAGCATGTGCTCAGTCCCATTGAAGTGGGCTAATTCACATGCTTAGTACTTTGCTGCCAGCATGCTCAGCACCTTTCCAAATTAAGCACTTATTTATTTACTTAATTCAGCTGCTAATTTCATGAATAGTTCAGATGAATGGTTCAGATACAATTCAGATGGAGTAAGATGTGATGCTGGCTAACAACACTGGAATGGTGGGAAGCTGTCCCCAGCAGTTCTCCCTTCCCTACCTCCACTGCTGCCCCACTGTGAATGAATCATGCAAAATGTAGTTGAAACTCCTACTTATCTGAACATGCAAGAATGAAAATATTTGAGAGAAAGAGAAAGGCATTTTGAGTAATTTAGGTAGTTTTCTTGTTTGGGAAACTATTCCCTTTGTATCTATGTGATTAGAAAAGCCAGTTGAATTTGCCTCAGGCTGTATGAGACAAGCAACAGAAAGCACATTCATTCTCCTGCTCCTACCTTTTTTATGGGACACAAAGAAAAAGAATGTCATGAGCTCTTATTTAACCAAGTATAGGCTTTTAAACCTTTTATGGTTTAAAAATACATTGATGGTTATTCAGGCATAGCTTTTGTTAATGGAAGTTTGCTAGCTTTTCACATTTCTTTTACCCATTTCCAACATTACTTCTCGCTTTTGTCTGGTAACAGAAATATGCTGAGCCAAAAGCTGCTCATTGCAGAAAGGACAGTGTAACCAAACCCACACCAAGTACATAGGCAGACTGCAAACGTCCCTGAATCCCTGCCTCTTTTTAGATGGCAATGAGAAAGCCTGCTCATATGAGGCATGAGGGAGAAGGGAGGCAGGAACAGGGCTTCATCTGCTCATGGGAATACAGTCTGGGCATTAAGAGAAGCCAGAATACCATATTCCTTTCTTTAAATCTCTGATTTAGCTTGATCTGAAGTGTATTTTCCAGCTTCTAACCAGACAGGAGATGTAGCGAGACTTTGTCCAGCATACTTTGTGAACATCAAGCTGATGTCTTTCCAAATGACAAGTCAGCCAAGATAGCATCAGCTTTTGCAAGAGTATTTGGGGGCTCTATTTTTAATCTACCTACAATACCTGTTGAAAGTGCTAGCATGGAACTGGTGACATAATCAACGACAAAGGTTGAAAATTGCTTTCATACAGCTCTAAACAGCTTTACTAGTGTAATCAGAAAATTGCTTTCATACAGCTCTAAACAGCCTTACTAGTGTAATCAGAGCGGCTACGTCTAAACTACACCCCTCAGTCGGCAGAGGGATGTAAAATAGACGTATCGAAAGTGAAAATGAAGTGGGGATTTAAATATCCCATGCTTCATTTGCATAATGGAGGCTGCCGCTTTTTTTTGAAACAGGGATTTAAAAAAAAAACGGCAGCTTAGATGGGGCATTTTCAACAGAAATGCCCCGTTTCGAAAGATCCTGTACTCCTTGTATTGGCTACGTCTAGACTGCAATCATTCGAAAGATCCTGTACTCCTTGTATTGGCTACGTCTAGACTGCAAGCAAGGCTTTTTCGAAAGATACTTTCGAAAAAGCCTCTTTCGAAAAAGAGCATGTAGACTACAACCAGTAATTTCAAAAAAACAAGCCGCTTTTTCGAAAGAGAGCACCCAGGCAGTCTGGATGCTCCTTTTCGAAAAAGCATAGTTTGCATTACATAGTGCCTTTTTTCGAAAGAACACTTTTGAAAAAAGGTGTTCTTCATCATAAAACGAGGTTTTCCGCAGTCGAAAAAACTGACGCGTTCTTTCGATTTACTTTCGAAAGAACACAGCAGCAGTCTAGATGCAGGGGAAGTTTTTTTTTAAAAGGCCACTTTTTTAGAAAAAACCCTATAGTCTAGACACACCCTTTTTGAAGAGTACAGGATCTTTTGAAATGGGGCATTTCTGTCAAAAATGCCATATCTAAACTAATGTTTTTTTCAAAAAGCCCATTTTGAAAAAAAGCGGCAGCCACCATTACGCAAATGAAGCTCAGGATATTTAAATCCCCGCTTCATTTGCACTTTCGATATGTCTAATTTACATCCCTCTGCCGACAGAGGGGTGTAGTTTAGACATGGCCAGTGAGAAAAAAGTCTGCTCGGTAGCTTCAACTTACGGCTTTAGCTTTTGGCACATGGCTTTAGCCCCTAAGGTCTCAGGTTCATTCCCACCTGCCAATGACCCAGGTTTGTCAACTTTACACCAGCAAAATTATCAATTATATTTACAAGCAACAGCTGCCATAGTATCACCACAGTTTTAACATTGAAATATGCTCTTTTTTTATGCCAAGGTTATAGGTCTGAACTGACTTTTTAGTCTAAAGGTCAATACAAAATAGACAATTACTACAGACAACTGCATGTGTGTGTTCCCAAGATGAGGATGAAAGCTTTTGTCAACCTGAAATATATTTTTACTGTATGTGCTTAGCTCCCATTACTCAAGAGGAGAGCAAATTTATAGGAGAGCTAATTTATAAAAAGAGAAGAAACAGATTGCAAGTTACATGCAATACCCTCATGAGATTATTCTCTCATTGGTTTCTTAGGATCATAGAATACTAGAACTGGAAGAGACCTCAAGAAATAATCAAGTCCAGTCCCCTATCCTCATGGCAGGACCTAACACCATCTTTCATCCCTGATAGATGTCTGTCTAACCCGTTCTTAAATATCTCCAGTGATGGAGATTCCATAACCTTCCTAGGCAATTTATTCCAGTGTTTAACCACCCTGACAGTTAGGACGTTTTGCTAAGTCCAACCTAAACATCCCTTTGCTTCTTGTCCTATCATCAGAGGCCAAGGAGAACAATCCCCCTCCCCTCCATTACACCCTTTTAGTACCTGAAAAATGCTATCATGTCCCCTCTCAGTCGTCTCTTTTCCAAACTAAACAAGCCCAATTCCTTCAGTCTTCCCTCATGTTTTCCTTCAGTCTTAGCTCATGTTTTCTAGACCTTTTTTGTTGCTTATAGATAACCCTATCAATAAGATAGGTGTGCAGCCCAAGATAATTTATTTATATCATTACATTCATAAATGGATCTGCCTATGTTCATGTAGATAGATCTACAGATAGCTACAAGTATATCATTATAGATACACATAGATAGATATGACTATCCCATAGAAGCCAATGACTTGAAAGTAGTAGCACTATAGACATTGATTTCCAAGGAAATATCCTGTACAGAACTTGAATGTATACTCACAGATTGTGCAGTCACATCTGGATGGAAAGTTACACAAAAAGGCCAGTAAAAATATTTTTTTCAAAAATATTACAAAAATTAAAAAGCTTTCAAAATTATAAAGGAAATATTTAATCAGAAAAATATCAGATGATGACTTGAAAAATGATTGCTGTAAATTTCTATTTTTCAGTTTTGTGTTGTTTTCTTCTGTGTCTGTAAAAACTGTTGACTGGACAATGTAGTCACATGAGCCCTTATGCTTCACTGACTTTATGCTCCTCACATTAAACAAGTGCATAAGACTTCTGCAGGACTGCAGCAAAGTTATATTTTTCCAAAATTAATTCATTTCAAAGCTGTGTTATTTTCTGTTTCAAAATACAATGTTTCAGTTGAAGGTTTTTCCATTTTGGAAATTAAAAACTCCATTTTGAAAAAATATGAAGACAGGGACACCAGACTGTTACAAAACCTAATGGAACAGGCTTCTTTGAAATGTACTGAAACATATGTGGATTTTTTTTCCTGCAGCATTTTTCACCAGCTTTAGCTGAAGTTTTCACCCAGCTCTACATACTTGTGCTTTTTTGGAAATGCTATTAAATAAAGTAAAAATATTAGGTGAAAATGAACTGTTCATATAAGAAACAAATATAAAGGCCATACCTGTTGTTTTCTGACACAGCAGGCAGAGGAATAACTTTGTAAATGTCTGTATACTTTCCCAATAGTGAAAATAATAAGAACAAATATCTGATCACACAGGTGGGTAGAAAAATCTATCAAGCTATTCATGCAGCCATCATAACCAGAATATTTAAGTACTTCGTGCTCTTTAAGGCATGTACCTTGGCAATTCCTTGTGAGGTAGCATAGTGCTATTTCCAGAGAGCACAGAGAGACTCACACAAATTGTCTATGGCAGAATAAGAAAAAGAATCTGGATCTTCCAAATGAGTGCCCTGGACTTGATTTCCCTACCTCTTCGATACCCTTCCAGTGGACAGATTAAAGAAGAAATGCTAGTAAA